TCTTGCTCTTTCTGCTCAAGTGATGGGTCATCTGGCAGATAAAAAGTTTCGACGCCTTACGTTTGACATGATGGTTGCCTGGGAAGCCCCAGCAGCTTCCAGTCAATCTTTAATTAATGTAAGTTCCGTATTTTATGTATTTCTTCTTTTCGATCTGTGAACGCATGCTACATTATATTGTGTGAGAATGCCAAATGATCTTATATTTTTGCACATTCAAACTATTCTCATGAGCATGGAAAATGGTTTAGGGCCTTTAATCGTCCATTGAACTCTAGAATTGATGCTAAAGTTTATGGTCACCATTTTGTCTTGATTGAAGTTAGATGATGATCTGTCAGTCGGGATGGAAGCCTTCTCTAGGATAGCTCCTGTGGATCCCCCATCATTGCCAAAGTGATCATTTGTGAAAATCTTTTTGAGGTTCTTACCATCTCATAGGGTGGCCGGCTTCATTTCTCTGTCTATGACAAGTACCTAAATGGACTAGAGAGGTACGAGTCTTTGCATTGTCAATATCGTATACACTGTCATGCCCCTCTATTGGTTCTGTTTTGATCCCCAATGTGTTTCTAATGCAAAACTTTTCTAGTCAAAGATAAAAAAATCGTGCTTTATTTAGTTCATATCCTTGAAGGTTTAGATAACAACTAATCACCAAATAGGCTATATAGCCAAATAGAGGAATCCTAAGATAAATTCTCGAAACATGATGAATAATACGATATGGAACGTTCTTAGCAGAAGCTTAGTAAAATTTACCGCATATTCGAATGCTGATTACTCCTTGTATGGGGTTTTAGTTTTAATTTAGTCTGAAGAAGTTCATAGTAAACAAAAGGTCCAGTAATTTATGGAAGTATCTTCATGTAGCATATCTGCATATCTAAATGTAATATTCTAAAATTTGATCTCTATAGAGCAATTAAAATGATGAAGAGCCAATCAGAATCGTCTCTTTTGTCTGCTGTTCGGTCATCGAGAGGAGAAAAGATACTTGAGGTGGATGGAACAGTTACTACTCAACCGTTTCTTGAACATGTCGGAACATCAACATGGCCAGGTAAGTTGATGAATAGCAAACATTTTATTCAATAGACTAGCGTACGATATCTTTGTTGATTGGTGAAGTTCATTACTTCTACCATGCTTTTTCCTTTCCTTCTTTCGTTCCGTCTTTGTTTTTGTAAATAGCTTTGATTGTCGATTAACATATGGTGGAATATTTGGCTTGTTCTGAGATTGTTCTTGCATGTCTTCAGGTCGATTAATACTGACAGATCATGCATTGTACTTTGAAGCCCTTCGAGTTGTATCTCATGATAAACCCACAATATATGTTCTATCAGATGATCTGAAACAAACTGTTAAACCTGAGCTCACTGGACCATGGGGTACTCGACTTTTTGACAAGGCAGTCTTATACAAATCCATTTCCTTGTAAGGCACGGTTCATATTTATTTTATTTTCTTGTAACCGTCCTTGTGATGTTTTTTAGTGTTGAATCGATCATGATTTGTATTTAATGCTTCAGTTTTAACATAAAGCTCATCTGATTCCCTCGTAGATCAGAACCAGCTATTACCGAGTTTCCTGAACTTAAAGGGCACACTCGGCGTGATTACTGGCTAGCAATAATCCGGGAAATTTTATATGTTCATAGATTTATAATAAGTTCAACATTACTGGAATTGAAAAGGACGTACGATGCACTTTCTAAAGCTGTTCTTGGAATTTTGCGTGTGCAAGCTGTTCAGGAAACTAGTTCCTCGAGTTCTGTTCGCTTCGAGTCGCTTCTCATGTTTAACCTTTGTGACCAATTGCCCGGGGGAGATTTAATACTGGAGACTCTTGCAAATATGTCAGCTCAAGGGAATTTGACCGGAGTAACAATGTTGCGACTAGTGGTGGCATGTACTCAATCTCAGCCTTGACCACGGTTTCGAATTTAGGTTTTATGTTTGGTTCAAGTCCAAATAATCCGAGTGAGGCTGGATTGCTTGTGGGTGAACTAGCTGTGGGCGAGATTAGTTTGTTGAAGAGAGATGTTAATGAGTCTAGAGAAAGCTATAAGAAAGTGGTGCTGGCTCAAAAAACGGTTGATGGGGTTAAAGTAGATGGTATCGACACCAATGTAGCTGTTATGAAGGTATCACAGATGATCCTTTTCGTTATCGAATATTGGTCATCAAATTAATGTGGTTGGGAGACGAGTAATCGGCTAAACACCGTATGCATATTGGTTTAGACTCTAAACCGGAAACTCGAGTTGGGTACGTAGTTATGTCGATATCTCGGTAGGTTTCCATATCATAGGAACCGGTTGTTGTCCATTTCAGGGGATGGCTGGGTTATACCTTTGCATCGGCTCTACTCCTTATCGCGATATTTATGGCGATTACGAGATTTTGCAACCAAGGCCGGCCTTTGATCGAAATCAGGGTAAAAGCACATCCTCCTATGACCACAATGGAGCTGCTTTTGGCTGTTCAGAATGCAATATCTCAATCCGAACAGCTTATCCAGGACTGAAACATTGCTCTTCTCAAGTTCCGCGCCTTGCTGCTCTCGATTTTCCCACAGGTTTTACTCTTTTTGTTTGTTTCTATTCTTATGCATCCCTCGTCTTTAACCCGAGCTGCATGCGCTGACACCGTGACGATGACCAGGCGAGCGAGAAGCTTGCAGCCGTGCTGGTGTTTATAGCGTTGAGTCTGGCGTTGGTGCCTGGTAAATACGTGGTAATGGCGGTGTTCTTGGAGACGTTGACGAGGTATTCGCCTCCGAGGAAGGTGAGCACGGAAAGATGGATGAGGAGACCGAGAGAGTGGTGGTTCAGCATCCCAGCGGCCCCGGTGGTACTTGAAACCCAAAGCCAAAGAGAGAAGGAAGATAAGAAGAGGGACGGTTCTGCTATGTGGCGCTTTAGTATACTAAAATAAGGTGTTTTTAGTTTTATTATTATTTTAAATAATAAAATGGATAAAAAATGATTGAAAATATTATTATTTTTATCAGTTCTAATTATTTATATTGGTAAACGTGATAGAAAAAATTCGATTAAAAATAATATTTTTGGTAAAGCGATACTTAAAATATTAATTTTTAACCGAATTTTTTCTATCACGTTTATCAATATAAATAACTAAAACCGATAAAAATAATAATATTTTCGATCATTTTTTACCAATTTTATTATTTAAAATAATAACAAAACCTATAACTCTTTATAACGTTTCCCAATAAGAGAGGGTGATTAGTTTTGACTGTAAATTATAATATGATTTACAAGAATATGCTGTACATCTGGAAATTGGAACTACTCAAAACATGAAATCAAAATTGTTTTAATTGAATGGCATAATAACAAAAATTAATTTCAACGTTTGTACAAATAGTTACTTTATCATTTATCCTTCTTTTTGGAGTATATTAGTTCTTGACATTTTATTTTGGAGAAACACATTTTTCTTAAAATCGTTAGTTAACTAAAGATCAATGTTTCTTATTGATGTGATAGGATCACGTGTAATGTCACATCATCAAAAAGATATTTTTAATTTTTTTTAAATATATTTTTATAAGTGTATATGTAATTAGTTATGATTATAGTTTATTTATAAAATATTTTTTTGCTGAAGCGGCATCACACAAGGAGTTGTCATGTCCGTATGAAATATTGACAATTAATCACTTATAATTTTCATCTAATTAGGGAATATTTTGCTCTAAAATGAAATGTTGAGACTAAAATGCTAAAAAAAATAGGAATTAAAGTGATCATTTGTATAAATATTAAGGTAATTTTATTATTATGCCTAATTGAATTGAATTTAATTGTTTCAAAACACAATGTCACATTCTAAAGATTATGAATTAGATTTTAGAGGTTAGAGTCGTTGGGTTAAATTTTAGGGTAAAATAGATAAATGATTCGTCGACTATAAGATATTATTTTATTAAGTCATTTGACCATTAGAAGTTACGAAACGATTTTCTAACTATAGAGTGTTGCTTTGTTAAGTCCATCAACTATTAAAAGATACAAAATTGTCGCTTGACTATTCATTATGTTCCAAACTCATCCTTTTATGTTAAAATTTTTTCAGTATTTAGAGTCAAACGTTAATCTACTAATTATGATATGATAAAATATAATCTCAGAATCTCAAACGACTATTATATCTTAGTCATCATGTTAACGTGCAGCTTATGCAATCGTCGATTTTTTAACAAAAAAAAAGATGAGTTTAGAACATAATGAATAGTCGAGTGACAAATTTATAACTTTTAATAGTCGATGGACTTAACAAAATAACATTCTATAGTCGAATGATTATTTTGTAACTTTTAATAGTGGACTTATAAAAATAATACCCTATAATCAGTGAACCATTTGTGTACTTTACCCTAAATTTTAGGTGGCTCATGTATCAAATAATAATATATTATAGAATACTTCAAAATATTTATATGATATTGATTTTTAGAAAGAATATAAATAACTTATGTTGTTTTTGAACATTCATTATCGTGTGATTGAGAGTATTTAGAATAGATACTATCATTTGTTAATCACCATAGATTAATAAGAAAAAAGAATATAATAATATCATTTCAAATATTCATATTATTTATTTTAATAAATTATTTAAAATTTTAGTAATATTTAAAATCCATATAATATTTTTAAAATATTATAATAAATATATTATTTAAAACTTTAGGTACTATACACGCAATTTACCCCTTATTTATTTAGTATTATACCAAAAAAATATCCAAAAAATTATAATTTAATGACAAAAATCGAAATACATTAAACTTGGTACGTGTAAAATTTTTATTTATTCTCCTTGAAAATACAAAACTATAGTTCCATGGATAAAATCAGAACCTTATTTGCATCATCAAAATCAAATAATATTAAAAAACTATAAAAAAAAGTAATGGAATAAAATATTTTCCTCTTCAAAAATAATATATATTTTTTTAAAAATAAAAAAAAAATTAATAATCGCGAAACTCATTCATCCCTTCCAATCCTGAAGAAGAAGAAGAAATGGAGCTTCTCATGTTTGGTGTAAAAAACAAAGAATCGGTGTAATTATAAAACGGCTGATGATGATTGACGCAGAGAAAATCGGCGGAATTCGGCGTAAAAATCGGAATATTTGTTAAAAACGGAGCCGCCGCCGGTGGATCAAACAACGGCGGAACGAAACAAGAATTCACTTGTCCTTCGCTGTTTTCATCGGTTATAACCGACGACGAGTCGTTGTCATCGTTGTTATTGTTGTTGATGATCCTCTTGCTGTCTTCTTCCGCCGACGCCTCCGCCTTGGGCTGATGAGACGCCGCCACATTGTTTTGGGCGGCGCTCTGATGATTTTGATGGTGATGATGATCTTCTTCGTTTCGCGACAGCCCCGTGAGTTTCTGCACCAACGCCATGAAATCTTTAGGGTGCGTGTGGATGACTTTGGGAGAGTGCGTGTATATGATCACCGGGTGCCGCTGCTGCTGCGGCGGCGGCTTCACCGTGCCGGAAACGCCGAGAGACGAGGCCGCCGCCGCCGACGATTTTTTTATGAAATGCGACTCTCTGCTCACTTTCAACGCCCCATTGGTAACATTATTGGCGGCGGCGGCGGCGGCATCTTTCTTTCCATGGCGGTCGTGAGAGTTCATAATGGGTAACAGGTTTCTTTTTCCTTTTTTAAAAAAACAAAAATGATTTTACTAAATAAATAAAAAAGGGAAGTTTCTATTTATAGAAAATTTGTTGGGTATTATATAATATTATATAAACACGTGTTTTAGGATAAACCCACATTTTATTTGTTGTTAACAATTATCGAGAGTTGCGGTAAATCTCATTTTTGGTCTCTGACTTCATCTCCAATTCTAAATTAAACTTTAGGTCTTCACATTACTATAAATGTTGTTTGTTATTATTTTGAAGACGGATAATTATCCGCTCTGAAATTCAAATTTTCTTTTGTTAGAAGTTCGTGTCTCTTCATCTTTTAAATCGAATAATTATTCACTTTAAAATTCGAATTTTTTTTATTAGAAGGTTGTCCGTTCGTCTTCTAATCGATGTTGTGTGCCCATCAATGTTGGATTGATTTGGGTATGGGTGCTGATTTGGGTCGAGTTTTTTTAGAGCTTATATAGGCCAGATTGATAAAACTAGTCGATTCGGATTATAATGTTTGGTTGGAATATTTGAAATAAAAATCCTAAATTTCATACTCATCAAAATAAAAATAAAAAAATCTCCCCAATTTAATCCCTCATTTTCCTCTCAAAATCATTTCACCACCCACCTTTCAACCTATTTAAAATTGGTGTATGGTCTTCCGTTTTTTTAAATAAAATAATACTCTTTTCTGTCATGTTAAATTTGTTCATTGTTAATTTGTTACCATTTTTTTAATTTTGACTCATTATTATTTAAAATTTATTAATGATAAAAATAGGCTTAATCATGAAATGAGTGTCCAAACTATACCGTTTTCTTAAATGGGTATCCAAATTTTTTTTGATTCATCTAAATGCCTAACGTTACAAACGTTACCATTTTAGGTGTTTCGACCGTAACAACCTTTAAATTCTACCGCTAAAGGACAAGTGTCACGTACTAATAATTTTAAAAATTTTATTTAAAATTAAAAAATAAAAATATTATTATATTAAAAAACCCAAAAAACTTAAAAAAAAAACTTTTTTTTAAAAAACAAATCTAAACTTTGAAAACCTTAAATACACGCCAGTCCTCTCTTTGTCATCAATAAATCCCCACCTGATCTCACCTTCATCTGATAACCAATAACCCCATGAAAAGCCATTGAAATAAGAGCCAATCGATAGTCAATCGACGTGTGTACTCCAACAAACCCTGATGCTATAAATCATGACCACATACAATCCCGATGGCCAATTAATGGCAAAGATGACGATGTCTGACTAAGAAGATGACGATGTCTGACTAAGAAGATGACAAGGACGACGTTAGTGAGTTATGGTTAGGGCTTTAGGATTTTTACATATCTGGGTTTTTTTTTTGTAATTTAAGAGAAATTAGGATTATTTTTTAAATATAATAATATTTTTAATATTTAAAAAAAAAATTCTTGAAATTTCCATAGTGTGACACGTGTTACTTTACGAAATTTTTAACAGACTTTCTGGTTGGGGCACCTAAAGTAATAATGTTAGGCACCTAGATAAATAAAAAAAAAAGTTTAGTCAATAATTTGAAGAAAAAAAAAAAGTATAGTTTGAGACTTAATTTTTCTAATCAAGTCACAAAAATATGAAATATATATATATATATATATATATATTAAAAGCCTTAAAATCAAATAATTTTTAAATGTATATTTTATAAAATTTAATTATTAAAATATTTAAAATAATTATGATCAAAATTTAAAAATTTTGACTTAAAATCAATCATGGACACATTTAGTGAGATAGAAGAAATATATATTATTATGTATGTGGGCACGCATATATATATATATATATATATAAAGTAAAAGTAATTCATTACAAAAACATACAAGTAAATATATAATTGAAAAAGGTCAATAACAAATTAAGATTTGATTTGTTGGATGGATTAAATTGAATATTAAATTTTGGGATGTTACGTTATCATTGAAGATTTAATGACCTCACGAATATCAGTTCTAAAATTTGATAAATTCTTGATCACAAATCGAACCTCAACATTTTTGTCCATTATGCTTCTTATTGCATATTATTTTATTTTACCTTGGCTTTATTTTTTATTTTTTTATTTTTCATCTATGTTTTTTAGTTCGAAAAATCCATGATATCAAACATAAATCACCTCTTGAAGTATCTCAAACAACCATTATACCCGAACCAACATGTTAACATCCAACTCAAAAGACGGTCAATTTTTTAACATAAAAGGACGAGTTTAGAATATATAAACAGTCAGGTGACCATTTTGTAATTTTTAATAATCATAGGACTCAACAAAGCAACACCCTATAATCAAAGGATCATTTTGTAACTTTTAATTACTAGAGGACTTAAGAAAACAATGTCTTATAATTGAGGCAAAATTTTCACTTCTAATTGTTAGTTCTATTCTTTCAATCAATATATAGATCAAGATTCATGCATTTTTGACACTCAACCTAATAATGCTCACTAAACACTACCGCTCCCTGCAAAAGGAAACGATAAAAGGGCCAAAACTGAATCTGCAACTTACAACACTTCTCACTACATAAGGTTCAACTTTAAAAAGCTTTGTATAGGCGTTCAAACAAATTACCAAGCTCGCAAAGGAGCCTGAAGATGAGATTAATTCCTATAACCCTCCGTAGCAAATGCTGAATCAAGGGTAAGTTATTAACCTGTTCCGAAGTGCAGCTCATAACCTGTGCTGTTATTAAACCTTCTCATTGACGAAGAATTTGCTGGAGCTGAAGTACTTGATTCCTTTGCTCTGGAGGCAAGAGATTAATCTGTTCTGGAGTAAGGCTCATTACCTGCTGAAGTAGTGCCTTCTCCATCTCAGGAGTCAACTACAATGAGCCAACAGAAAAAACCAACCAGTTAATAGATCAGCTTCAGTTATTTAAATTTATTTTTGCTTGTATGAAACCCAAAGTTTGGATAATCACCGATGCAGAGCGAGGGCCCTGATTTCCAGGACCCATCTGATTGGGAACCAAAGATGAGGGTCCTTGAAGCTGGGGTAGTGTTGAATTATCTGGTTGGCTTGACATCCAAGGAGATCCTCTATCTGCCTGCATTGAACCTCGAACTTGGTTGCCAAAGTCAGATCCTAAATGTAAGCTTCCTGCCTGAAAGAATAACCATTGCACATAACAGAAAAGTTGTCAATTAAGCAATAGACATATCGGACAAGATACTACTCCATTAGACATGGAATTTCTTTCCACTAAATATAGAAAATCAAGCTTAAGGAATCTTAAAACTACATTTGGATATTGTATTTGGTCATTAGTTCTTTATCATTTACTCTTTGTTCCCTTAAAATTACAACAAAGAAAGTTGAATACTAAAAAATATACAATACTCTTATCAAAATATATATATATATATATATATCATATTTATTGACAATAAAGTAACTTTAAAATATAGCACAAAGCTAAAATCATGCATATATATATATATATTATAAGTGCATCTAAAGCCCTTCTTCACTTCTTTTTTGCTTTTGAAAGAAAAGGTAAGAATAAAAAATAACTTTAACTACTGCAAGACACCGAAGGGGCATCTTAATTTCATCTGTAGAATAATTTGACTCAAAGTCATTAAAACCATGGTATCTTATTAAATTCAAAATCAGTTACCAGCTCATAATCATTGTTCAGTGCATTCGATGGAGTACCATTCTTCTAGCTTAAGCCAGAACTCTAACTTATATAGCTAGCTGAATGAATAGGATGCAAACACTTGTATGTCCTTCCATTTCATTCATTCAAAAAAAAAAAGACATACAATGCCCAGGTTCTCTAAAATTATTTCTCCTCGTTGACTTGATTAAAATGCATCAAGATACCTCAGGCATCCACCTTTCCACACTGAATTACAAAACCTTGAACTAGTTGCTATTGCAATCACAATCGCATACAATTGTGTTTCCATCTTCACATACAAAATTATGATGGAAAAAGTACAAAAGATTTCCACAATTTTTAACGAGGCACAAAAAACACAGATATACATAAAGGAATCCACTATTTTTGCATCATTTAAACTTTAAAGCATAAACTAGTCAACCAATCACCTAGAAGAAGGGGGGTCAAATTGAAAGATTGCATTGTGCCTCATAAAAGGTAATTGGATGTATTTTAAATACATGGTAGACCATGGAACGTACAAGCTTGTCAGCTTAGTTAAGCGCAAATAAAAGACACGAGCTTACCTTTATTATCAGCCACAAATAATGGTTCATTAATTGATAAAAAGCACATACTTGATTTTGATACACTGATTGAGGTGGCAACTGATTTGAGTGTGGTGTCTGTCCTTGTGGAAAAGAGGATCCAAGGCCAGGTGGTGGTTTATTACCAGACTGGACAATAAAACAGTAAAAAGAATTATTGCGTTATATGTTACTAGGGAGAATCCAAGACCGACTTCCAAAATTTACCTTCCGACTTACATGGAACATCGGTTGTGAATGATGCTGGGGAGCACCAGGGTGCTGGAAACCGACATTAGGACCCATTTGGGGAGTATACTGATGATGTAAAGTTGGTACAGAAGAGGGTCTTGCCTGTTGCGGCATAGGTGGCTGCAGAGGCATATGAGAAATTCCAGTTGTCTGCAATGACTGCTGCAACTGGCCGGAGGCCATTGGCATATGTGTTTGTTGATGATGTTGGGGCTGTGAAGATGGATGAAGAGGAAGTGAAGGTACATTAGGCAGTTGGGATGATTGTGGAAGGGACATTGGAGGATTCAGATGTCCCTTCATCTGCTGGGGCGTCTGAAGGGAATGTGGTGGCATGGGTTGAGACTGAACGTTTGCTGCAGGTATGGCAGCAGCTGAGATTTGTGTGCCAGCTTGGTTTTGATGCTGTTTTCTTAAAGGAGGTTGGGTCTGAGATGGAGCAGTTTGGTCCTGCAACCCAAGTTGACCTTGCAATGATTTTGCCGGCTGGATGTTCGGCACTGGAGGCGGTTGTGCTGATTGCTGAGACTGAGATTGTTGTGATGCAGGTGGCTGAATGGTAGGAATCTGAACGCAAAAAAGGATTCATAACACAGGTACAGTTTCCAACCTAAAATTTCAAGATGATTTTGCAGAGATCAAAAGCATACCACTTGAGGGGGCCTAACCATTCCAAGCATAATCTGAGCCTGAAGTGAAAAAAATAGATAAAAGAAACTTGTTTAGGCAAGGAAGCTCCTAAAGATTTTCAACAGCACAACGTCTAAACGTATGCAATACACAGCAAAATTAGAGCGATTAACCATCAAGCCCTACATCATTGAAATATCCATGATTCTTATTCAGGGTTGCAACTAGAACTACAGGCATATAAACACAAAAAAATGGCAACAAACGTTCATAACGTTATCATACAAGGGATATCAAGAGAGTCTTAAAGGTAAAGGATCGTGCAATTATCTTAGTAATAGCAATAAAAAAATCATTCGAACCAACATATCACAGCAACATATAATTACTATGGAAATACAAAACAAAATCTACAAAAGAATCAGGAATAGATTGGAAAGGGAAACGATGAGAGTTTTATTGAATCTGAAAAAGGAAATATATTAGAGAAGGAAAACCTGGAAAAGGGCTTTAGTCAAGAGAGGGTTTTGAATAAGGATCTCTTTCGCTTGTTGCTCATTTTGTTCTATAAGTGTCTGCATAGACCAAATAAACAATCAACGGAAAATACTAGTTCAAATTACAAATTATATTTCACGACGAAGGAACCGGCGTTTAGAAGAAAGGTAAAAGAAAAGGGGAAAATCGAAAGAGAAAGTACCTTCATCTGAGACATGATATCGTAAAGTTGATTCTTCGACATTCCAGCTATGTTGGCTGGCAAGCCCTCACCGCCGGTTTGCTTCCCCGCCATTATCTCCGTCGACTTTCCGGCAAGAGTCAGAGAGAAAGAGAGAGAGATTGGAGTTTCAGGCTTTTACGTGGGGTTTTATAGCGTAATGGTTTTGAAAGGCCGGCCCACAATAGAATTTGGGATCCAACCCCATTACTCTACAAATTATCCAAAAGTATTGTTCATCAAATTTTGAGGTCAAGATCATTTTTTTGAAGTTATTATGCACTCCCTTCGTACCGTAATTTGTGTTTGATATTGAGTTGTTCTTCATTTTAACTAACCTTTTATGTCATTGATCAATAATATTGTAGTCTTTCGTCATTATGATGCTCTAAATTAACCATAAGTTTTTGTCAAGAAAATTTTCATGATTTTTTCTTTTCCCTTCAACAACTGCTCATGCAATCGGAAATTGATTATTTCTGTCTCTATCAACAGTCATAAGTAGTATTCTCTTCCTAACAGATTTGAGAAAACATCTACGTCAACAAAAATTAACAGAATCGTTGATCAAATAATCACATTAAGTTCTTTTTTAAATTGAAATGTCAAATTAAGAGAAAAAACAATATCAGAATCACATTAATTTCTTTAAAAAAAATATAAAGACTTTGTGTAATCTTTTACCTTATAATATTTTTGTCAAAATATAATTATATAATTTTTGTTTTCATTTATTTCAATAGAATATATAAAAAAAATTGTAATTTATCAGAGGAGGAGCTTCACCCAATATTTGAAGTATTGAACCAAGCCCCTACTAATCCCAAAGGCCAAAACTCAGGTTTGATCTCTTAGTGGTTAAAATTTAGTTAAAATTAAGAAAATATCCTCCAATTAGATGGTGACACATATTATTATCTAGTTGGAGATTAAATTTTATTGAATTAAATTAAAATTATAACTAAATTAAGAAAATATCTTCCAATTAGGTGATCACGTCAATTTAACGATTGGTGGTTTGGACCCTCATTTTAAATTACTGCCTGAACTTTTAAATATTCTAATTTCATCCTTAAATTATGACTATCGTTCTAAACTAGTCCTCAAACGTTTGACCATTTCAATTTCATCTCAAAACTATGACCCTAATTCTAAATTGATCACCAAACTTTTTAAACATTCCAATTTCATCCCAAAATATGCATAGATAGTAATCACATCCATTGTTAAATCGTTAGGCCAAAGTATATTATTATATGTTTAAGAAAAACAAAATTTAGGTTAAATTATGGTTGAAAATAATTACATGTTTGGACGAAATTAGAATATTCAAAATTTTGGGGGACTAATTTAGAATGAGTGACATAATTTAGGGATAAAATTGAAATTTTAAAAAGTTTGAGGCCTAGTTTAAAAACATAGTCATAATTTAAGGATAAAATTAAAATATTAAAAAAATTAAGTACCACTTTAAAATAAAATTTCATATTTTAAAGATATATAATACAATTAAATTTAGATAAAATTAAAAGATTAATCATAAAAATGAAAAAAAAAATACAATAATTAAGTGTTCATTATTAACCATACTCAACAATAAAGTATAAAACTGAAAGTTTTATTTCAGTTTTATAAGTGTAAATAGATCATGTGTGTGTATATAGCAAAAGGGTACCTAAAGCCCCTGTACTTTTCAAAAGAAAATCAACGTGGCCCTCCACTTCGTTTTGCACCCAATGTAGCCCTCCAAGTAAAAAAAACTCATTGTGATCCTTTGATCAACGTTTTTCGTCGATGACCAACGCCTCTGTTACTTTGTGCTGATGTGACATGTTAAGCATGTCAACATCCTATTTTTTCTCTCAATCTGTGTAATACCCTAGACAAGTACGACATACAGTCGACCGATATAGGATGCCACATGGAACCACCGGAGTGGCTGACCAACACCTTACTCTTTTCTTGTACTATAAAACGACCATTTTCATAAATAAAAACATCCATAAAATAAATATAATTTAAAGCTTTATATTGGGGAGTTCCCAAAAATAAATATTTACAATAAAAATATTACAAACTGACTCTTAATAAAATTTATGACTCAACTGATACAACATGGTTTATAAAATATGCATGCCCTTCAAAAACTACTGAGACGTGCTCTGAATTTGCAATTAGTCTAAACTTGATCTTTGTACTACTCGTCGAACTCTCGGTCTACTGACCTGCTCATGGAAAACAATCCAAAGGCTAAGTTAACTAGCTCAGCGCCACACTAACAACTAAAACATACTAAAAGTTTATCACTGAAATGCTCAAGCTATCAAGTTTGTTGTTATCTGGTCTACTGATATGTTCTGGTTTGGTTTGCTTTAGTGACGAGTATACTCACTCTCTAATCTATGGTAGACATCATGGTACAGATGAGGGTTCTACATCTCAGAGCTCACACACCCCTCTAGTCTACCGAGAATATGGCCCCCAAAATCTCTGTATCGGACACCACACTCTCGACTAGCCCACTCCTTGAGTATCGAACCTTGAGCCCAAACTAGTTATCTTAAAGTGCCTTGCCCTTAAGGATATACAGAATGAATATATACTTTCGACTCTGCTATCTTTTCTAAAGGAACTCGGGTGTCCTGGTCGTTTTCCCGAGCATTCAAACAAGGTCAGTCTTATTTCACCCTATTTTATTCTCGTTTCTATGTTTGAATTAAACATCATTAATGTTCTCACTTGAAGTCTTATGTGAGGAAATACTGAAGTGTTGGGGTATCTTGAGTCTAATTTCTTAAAAACTAGGGACATGCATGGGACCCGAATCTGACGGGTTCTGACCCGACCCGATCGAGTTGGGTTTTTAAAAAAAAATTGGGGTTGAGTCGGATTCAGGTTTAGGGTGAAATATACTTGACCCGAAAAAAATATATAATTTTACCTTATATATTTAGGAATAATTACAATAATACCCATATATATTATTTTTTAATTAAATCATTTATTGAATAAAAATAATATTTTATTATTATTTTGGGTCGGGTCATATCGGGTTCGGGTCGGGTGAAAGGTATATATTTTTTGGGTCGGGTGAAGGGTATATATATTTTGGGTCGGGTCGGGTCGGGTCGAGTTGGCCGAAACCTGACCCAAGCCCATCCCTATTAAAAACTGACCTTTTTGCCCAAAACAGACTGAAAGTATTGATACTAACCCAAGAGTATCGATACTCCTACAAAAGTTTTGATACTTTATATAAGTATTGATACTTTTAAACATTATGTTCTATCCATATCTCATTCAGATTCTTAAAACTAAGAATCTTACTAAATTTTCCATGTAATCCAAACTTACTTCTAACACTTATAACTTTCTATTCATACCTATGACAAGTTAAACTTAACTTCTAAATTCATTTATACATAATTATTCAAAATTTCACTTATCTACTTCTTATCTTTAATCCTTCATAACTTACAAATCTTTGAGTTTCTATGACCTTTTTCATCTCCACCATGTTTCCTAAGTCTTCATTAACCAAAACCATACTTGAATCTTAAAGATTAACCAGAAGAAATCAAACTCACCTTGGCTTGGGGTGCTTCACGGTGGAGAAGAAGAAGATGAAGAAGAATTGTCTGGAAACTTTGTTTCCCAAAACATGCTCCACATGGGTATTAAAATACCCATAATTATTATTTAATTATTTTCCTTGTTCAATGACTCATTTACCCCTTTCTTCTTCTTCATTTACTAAATCAACCTACACCAGATATTTCAATTAAGCCCTTGAACTTTTCAATTTATCTAAATTGGTCACTAAAATTTAAAATCTCACACTTTAGTCACTAACCCGATATTAAGGATGTTACATTAACTTGACAAACATAGGATATTATGTTAGTGTAAAATTATAGATATTTAGAGCTTCAAAGTTCGATCATCAATGAAAAATATAAAGAGAATACTTAAACTATAAGTGAATTTGAAATTTTCAAGAATCTGACTACACTCCCAATACTCCTTTGTATATATCCATTCCAGGGATAGACATAGGCGGGCGGTCGCCCCCTGAAGATCTAAAATTATCATTTATTTTCTATTGAAAACCTATTTTTTCCCCCTTAGAATTTTACAAATTCAAGTTCGTCTCCTAATATAAAATATTTCATCTATCTATGATCTGATCCTTATGACCTTGGTTTGTTTATTGTGTTTCTAAACCGTGTACGATCACAACACATTTACGGAGGACGACAAGATGGGAAACTTAGAATTTGAGGTGAGATCATACATAGAAGCCTTGAAATTGCATAATTCCAATTTGGAAGAAATACCGGACGAAACCGTGCTGTCGAGATTGTCGCCGACCACCACCAACTGCCTGGCAGAGGATAGCACGATATACTTGCATGACGGGAAGGTTGTACAAGACCTTGTACTTCGATTAAGAGATGTTGAGAGCGGTGAAGTCGAAATTCAACTAGATTGGATTCACTTTCCTGGCTCTAAAATTTTTCTAAGTTAATAAAACTTGCCTTGTATTTCATTAAATAGATGCCCTCTCACTTTCATGGTGTTGCATGCCACTTTGCTCTTTGAAAACTCTCCATTATGTATAAGAAAAATATTATATTATTATTAAATTGAATATGGAGAAATTAAGAGTTAAAAAATAATAAGATGAAGAATCGAATTTGAAAAAGATAGAGAAATATGGTTGAATTTTATTTGAAGTTGGATAAATTAATAAAAAAAAGATAGGAAAAAATGAAAATGAAAAATTAAGATTTCTATGGGATTAAAAAGAATTAAGGGTCTAAGTTAACTTTTTAAAAATAAAGAGACCCTAAATTAGAAATGTAAAAGTTAGGGCCTTGAGTAAGTGTTCAAGGTGCTCTCCAAAAGGTTGGCTCTGATTATAAAATAATGTCTGTTAATAATGTTTCTTAATCATTGATAATACACACACATTCTACTATGCAACTACTTCAACTTAGGACCTGACAGTAGAAATTCTTAAAACTTCCCATTTTTTCCTCAGCTCTTTTGGTCAGGCCTTTGTTATTTCTTCCCTTCATTTTGGGACTTCCTAATTCCATAGGCCTAGATTGTGTTAGTTGCAAGGGAGAG